CTCCTCAGGAGATGTAAGAAAATGTTTTTCTCCCTGAGCCTGGCCTTCATAATTCCATTCCTTCACAATACCTGAGCAACCACGGTAAGCCAAAACTTGAACAAACCACATTAAAGCTTCGTGCAATGTATCAACCTAATCTGTGGTCTAGCATTTTATGGGAACCCTGTTCTCTACTTACACCCATGGCAGAGATAAGCCAAACTTCTCCAACTTGAGCTTTCCAAATGTCCTAGATCTCAAGACCCATCATTTCTAGCCAGTGTGAGAGGAGTTGTAGTTGGACAGCCGGATAGCATCAACATGGGGAAAGCTAACAAAGAAATAGTCTACTGGATCTAGAAGCTCTATTCAACTCTGCGGTCAGCCATGTCACTCAGTTATTTTTCAGGTTTGTTGTTAGGATAAAATAGGTCAATCATTTCTGCAGGGTATGCAATTATGAGTTTGGGGGAGGAAGAGTGACATATAACCCTGCTCAAACCCTATGAGTAATTACCTGAGCATGTAGAATTTGTTGAAAGAAATTCCAAAACCAATTCTTTTTCATGAGATGGAATGAGAGTGGGTGGGGAAAATGGGGGGAAAAAACACCACACAGCATTAATGTTTGGCCAAATAGGGTCCTACAGGGAGCAGTGGTTAACCTACACTTGATCCTCTTTGTCTCCAAAATTGAATCTAAGATCTTTTGGATTCCATTCTCCTCCTCCTTAGACTGAGCAGCAGTAAATTCAGCAATGTGGAATTTACATTGAGTCAAAATCTGACCAAGGATTTCCTTCCTTCCTTAATTCCAACAAAACAATTTAATGAAACTCTGTTACAACCTAATTATGTTGAAACTAGAGAGTATTTACTGTTCCTGCTTCCCTATTTTATTAACATAATCAACTTTACTAGCAGCTATAAACTTGCAATATTATCAGTTTTACTGGGAACATTATTTTTGGTAATTCTCGCTCCTTCCTTTTATTACAACAATTCTTATTATTCCTGAAAAGTTTTGCAGTGAGACAGCTGGTGTATTTTCTCCGATTCTTTCCCCTATCTCCCATCCTCATTCTTTGTACTGTATCCTTTGCTTATTCAAATTAAAGTGTTTTGTATCTCTGGGCTTCTGCTGCTCACTATGAAGATGGTTTTCAATTTGACATAAGCTAGATTTAAGCTGCGTGAGCTTTTTAAAATTCTTGTTCCATGTGTCATTTGAATTAGCATCACCCTTTTCCCTGTGTGAGGGCAAAGAAATCATCGCTACGTTCACCGTTGCTAAGCGAAATACTATAAGTAATTGAAAAGAAAAGAAGAAGAAGGAAAAAATAAACCGTATTGTTTTTCTGGAGTTTTTCAAGCCTGCCACTTTGTCTGATGGCCTATTTAGCCTTGTACTAAACAGTGTAATATAACCTTCTGAGAAATACACCCTGGTCCTAAAACGATAGATCAATGCATTACTGGAAAATGAAATGCAATAAAATCATTTTTATTCCATTTAATTGTTAAAGTAACATTTGCTGACATCCGACTCCACTGTTCAGCTCTAAATTATACACAATCTGTCAGATTTAAATACGCAAGCAGCCAAGCTAACAGTGGAAGGCTTAGGTGATTTCTCAGGGTTCAGGTAATAAATAATGAAATTAGTTAACCAAGCAGATGCAAGAAATGTCTACATCAGAATAAGGAGGGCAACAGCATGGTACTGTATGTTGTTGTTCAGTCATTAAGTCGTGTCCGACTCTTCGTGACCCCATGAACCATATTGGGCCAGGCCTTCCTGTCCTTCA